CTGTACAGCAGGATCCAAACAGTTTCACAGTGTTTGAAACATGGTGAGGATAACTTCCAGTCACAGAGGTGGAACAAACTAACTGAACAGAGACAATTTTATATTCAAAATTATGAAAATCACAAGCTCTCCTACAGAAGAAGCAGATGTGACCATCAGGGTGGAATGTCATTTGAACAAAAACCATAAGGAGATAAAAGTCAGAAATTTCAGGAAAAGAAGTAATTAATGCAGAGAAACAAGGATGTTGTTGTACAAAAGCAAGCATCAAGAAAATCAAGGGAATAGGTAACAGCAGGCTCTCTGGGAATATATTCTGTGAGGAACAGGAATACAGGAGAGCTGGATGTTATTAAGAAGTGTATGTATAACTATAAGCAGAGCTTTACAAACTCAGTTTCTTAATGACAAATTTAAGAATGATTTAAAAATTTTATTTATAACCATAACTGAATTTGAATCATAAAAGCATACTATCTTGATGTATTCAGGAGGAATAGGGTTACACCAAAACTTCCTCGAATTACAATCAGAAGCTTTATGCAAATAAATGGTGACAACAAAGATACAGCAATAGTGACACATCATTAAAGGTGATACAAAGAAACAGAATAAACATTTTGAAATAACATCAGAAAGACACATGCATGAGATAAACCAGAAAGAAACAGTAACAAAAAAAGTTACATAAATAAAACACAGGTAAGAAAACAAGATTTTTAAAAGATGAAAGAAGTTCTTTTCTCAATTAACAGTGATGAAAGAACCACTTAATTATGTTTAGGTAGACCATATGTAAAGCCTGCTATCTGCTAAAACCTGCTAATTGCTAGCAAAAGACTTCAAGATCTTGCAGGAAACAGGAGAGCAGCAAGAGGACTACAAAGAAGTGCAAACCTACCTGGTCTTTCTAGGGAAAGGGTATAAGAATATATAAATGACAATATTCACTGCGATCAAGCGACTAAATAAACTTATAAAATCTTGGACGATAAGATGATGAAAATAGTATGGATTTCTCAAGGATAAATCACATCAAATACCTAATTCTTTAATGTAATAACTGGACTGATAACGCAGAAAAAGGCATAAGCTACAGCTTAATATTAGTACAATTTCTGACACTACAGCAGTGATACATTGTTTTCAAGAAAAGAACAATGTAGTGTAGCTTAAACTGACACAGGAGCTTGGCCAGGCAACTGTGGTCAGGATTCTGCAGTAACCTCTAACAGTCCAGTTCTTGCTATGTCTCAATTTTTTATTTCAACAGCTCTGCTGCATATCTGTCAAGCTGCTACTAATATTTTATTCAATACTTAACACATTAATAAAAATAAGATAATGATAATTAAGTTAAAATAATGAAAATTATACTCTCATTTTCAATTACGTAATTATAAACCAGTGTGCGTTTTAGGATTTCTTTTATCCCCTTTCTTGCTTTTGTGTTCCTCTCCCTTTGCACAGTGCCCCACAAAACCTACACAGCAAAACTTCTGTTCCCTTCTGAAGGACATTAAAATCAATGTCATACCACTAAGTATCCAGTTTTGGGGGTTTTACATTACGTTTCCTTCTGTTTCACTAATGATACTCTTTTAACTGTTTTCAGGCAAACATACACTAATCTGAGGAGAGCATCTGCTAAGAAACAAGTAAAACTTTACATTTCAGGTCATGATCAATTATTTACTTTTCCCAGCTCCTCACTGTTTACTCCCTAACTAAATAAAAGTTAATTTCTCTGTAAATACTTAATAATATGTTCTTCTTTCAAAAGTAAACTCAGTCAGTACCTGTTGATCAAGTCTGCAATGGTGAATTCACTTCTTCAATGTAAATTTAATATAGACAAAGGTTTTTATCATAGAATCATAGAATAGTTAGGGTTGGAAAGGACCTTAAGATCATCTAGTTCCAACCCCCCTGCCATGGGCAGGGACACCTCACTCTAAACCGTATTACCCAAGGCCTCGTCCAACCTGGCCTTGAACACTGCCAGGGACGGAGCATTCACAACCTCCCTGGGGAACCTATTCCAGTGCCTCACCACCCTAACAGGAAAGATCTAAGTTCACCTCAGCAATATGTGCAGACAATGGCATAACAAATAAAGTGTCATTTTCCAAACCACCGATTCAGAAAGAGACAGTAATTGTTCTCAAATTATTGCATTTTCTGAAAATAATGGAAGAGAGACAAGTCACATACTTAAAAGTTAAACCGTGAAGATCTTCAATAAAAGTACTTAACAGTAATTAAGCTGAATACCTAACCATCCGCTTAATATTCTGTCTTTCCAGAGGTCTAGACTACATGACATATTTTGTAACTCTTAAATAGAATATTCCAGACTGATAGTACCTAGCTGGCCTTCCCCCTCCCCTGCAGAGCAGGCAAAGGTTTCAGATCTGCTGAGGAAAGGAAACCTTCCCTTGGAAAGCATAAATTTCTTCAACATGAAGAAGTCACTGAAGGTAACAAAGGTGGTCTCCTTAGCCTGAACTAGAGCATGCTTACAATCTTGATGAGGAAACAAGGAATAACATTTCACCATCTTGTTTCTTCAACACAAACTAAGAGAAAAACACTCTAGGATGGACAACTCTCCCCAAGAGGCCTTGTGTATAATTGTTAGGGCATAGTGCTTGCCTGCAACTGCTGCAATGTCAATATTGTTACTGTCTTCAGCAGAGTGAAGGATTTAAAGTACAAAATAAGAGGAAAAATATTTTTGTGTCTCTGAAACATGCTGAAAAATTTAATTTAGTGAATTAAATAAATAAGCAATTAGTAAATGAGTGTCTCTTTGCTGCTACGTTTTTACTATTATACCTTTTATAAAAAAAAAAAAAATCCATCTAAATGCAGTAGGATATCATAAAGCTTTTCATATTTTAAAGCACTTTGAAACAATTATATTGAAGGGAGACCTTGACAGTTAAATGACTCAGTTAAATGAATGTTATAAAAGGTACATAATGATTTTTAGTGAAATATTCAGTTTAACCAGAAATGAGGAAAATCAGGCATAAGCAACATGGGTGTATTTGAGTAATATTGCCTTGCTTGAGAGTTCAATGGATGTTAACGGATTTTGTATAATCTAACATGAAACTATTAGCTAGAGAGACCAAGCTGCAATTTTTCATATCTTTTTCCTTCACTTTCATGTTTGGTTTTCAGATTTATTAAACACCCCTTTTTTTTTTTTTTTTTTTTTCTAAATTAGGAAACCATTTTTTAGTTTTGTTATTGTGGGGTTTTTTGCCTGTGGATACTGACAGCATCCATCCCTGTGCTACATTTCACTGTGATCACATGATGGTAAAGACTGTATTCCTTAGCTTAAGTATTCCTTCTTGTTTTACTGATGACTCTCAGGAACTGAAAAAAAACCAAACCCAAAATTAAAAAAAAAAAAACAACAAAACAAAACAAGCAAACTCTAAACCAAACTAAAAAAAAAAAAAAAAGGCCTGATACCAGAATTTTGAATCACTAAAAACTACTGTTGAAGTTAGTGGGGAGATATTGTGAGCGGCACGGGTAGGACCAAGCCTACAGAGTATAGATGTATTTATCCTAGAATGTTGTCCGCTTAACTCTGGTATCTTTACATGATTTCTCATGACCATATGAAAAGACATTTAAATAACATTCCAGCTTGCTTTTTAAAGTTACATTTATCATTATTAGTATTATTATTGTTATTGCACCTCAGCACAAGAACAAGGCATCATTCTTTTGACGCTGAACCACCATCCACTAAAGTTCTTTATTTGCTGGGAGAAAAAGAAATTAATGAAAAACTACCCACTAGGAATTCATTTCCCTGTAGATAAAGAAAAATCTCAATGCTGAAGAAATGATGCTGAAAAACAGGGATCATACATGCTCAGTTTCTCTGGTGAAATGAGGTGGAATGACTGTTTCACAGTAGAAAGGCCAGCTACACATATGGAAGGCACTATTTATTGAGATCTACAGTCTGTCTAAAGCTTTCAACTGTCTAGTTTAACACTAAAAACAGAAAAAAAAATATTGCTGGCGCAGTCAAAACTTGTTAGGAGTCAAAGATTCAGGTAAAAAAAAAAAAAGAAAAAAAAAAAAGACCAACAAATTGATGAAATAAGATCTTTTGTTGAAGGAAAAAACAAACAGAACAGCTGAAGCCGTGTCAACTGCACAGTGGGGCCAGTGAATCAGCTTAACCCACTCCTTTTCAACCTCCTGATGTTTTTATTTCCTTATCCCCAGATGATATCCTGCATGTACTGGCTGGAGCAGCCCAATGCAGGCCTCCTTGGAGGAGACAGCAGAGCTGTGAAGGGTGCTCCCCAATGGTTTGGACAGCAGGTGTGAAGGAGCTTGAGCCCATTCACACTCTGCTGCTTGTCACCTGCTCCCACATTGCCCACCCTGGCAGAAACAGCTTGTTTAAGAAAAATGGGGTGTGGAAAGGAAGGAAATAAAAAAAGCTACTTGGCTCTATGCTAGAAACATGCACCCTAACAAATTAAAACTTTAAATATTACTGGAGTACTAGCATCAGTAACCATACCACTTGGCAACTAGAGAGGCCTCACTGCCTTTGGGTAATTACGGAGACAATAACATTTTAACTGAGCAAAGGATTAATTATTTTCATCATATTTGTGGACAGCTTCCATCCTACTCTTCTTGTCGTCTCCTCCTCCTTTGCCACCTCAGAATGCTGGAATAAACATAATAGTGTGTTTCGCTTTAAAAGTCGACCACGGTTCAGTGAACAGGCTGACATGCTATTTCATGTGAGAAAAGAAGCTGTGATTTAATCTCAGTTTCACTATCTAGGTTCCTAGCTAGTATGTCTGGGGATAGTTAAGCCTGCATTTACTGTAAGACATCTGCATTATATAGCATTTGGCCCTCTGTATTTCCACACTGCATAGATGAAAAATTAGCTAGGTTTCTTGCATCTGGGGTGCAACAGTAGTAAATCTCTATATACTCACAGATATAGAAATATTCCCGGCCTGGCCTGAACTCAAATCCTAGAGAGAAGGGCGTGAAGAGCTGGAACTTTTCCGAGAACTTCAAAGGTCCATTTGGGGAATGCGGCCGATTACATTCCCACCTCTTGAACCCTTTGGAAGTGTGATCGCAGGAGCTGTAGCCATCAAAGTTCACCATGTACAGAACATAGCGTTCGGTCTTATCTTCCGGAACTGAATCTTCGTAGTGAGGGCAGAACACATCCAGGTAGTCATTGATGCAGACATCAATGTGGTAGTCGCCCCTCTGGAATCTGAAAATCACAGGAAGAGTTCAGATGTAAGCATAGTTAACTCAGGATGACCTTGTTGCAGGGTAACATTCTCATGAAAGGGGAAGCACCAAT